AAGGTAGTGGGTGGTATCGTCATCAGCCCTATCTGCGCAAAGGCGAGAACGATCGGCCGGTGCTGAAGCCGACCGTGGGAGTGAGCCCATCGCAGTCGCGCGAGGCTAGCCCACAGTACGAAGATGCGATCGAAACCCTCGCGGTGAAGAAACGCAGCGAATCGGCTGATACTGGGGACGCGACCATCGCTGCCAATGTACCATTACCTGCGGATACGCCACTCAAGGGACGGTCCCCGAGTCCCGTCCCGGCACTCAAGGCCAGCCCCGCGGACGAGGGATTGGACTTTGGGCCGGAGAATAATTTGAACAATTGTAGGCTTTATCTTGGTTTGCACCCTTGACCAGCACGCTGGCGCGGGATACTAATCGGTGGACCTTCTCTCAAGATATTCGGTTTGCTATGCGCGCAGAAGTCCAGCATCGCGAACCATTTGTCGCATTTTTTAGTTACTTGCGATCCAAGTTCGACAAGATCACTAGTTCCAAATCCAACACCACTCTCTCCATCCTGATTGCGCTTCTGTCCATCGCGTTCATGCGCGCATTGTTCTTACCTAATCTCCCTCAATCGATTCCGGATCTGGTGAAATTGTCAAGCTTTGCGCGATCCTTTGAGCCTCTCATATACTACTCGGAGAACGGGGTGCAGCAGATTGGAACGCTGCAGGAGACCGGTGTTGCTGTCTGGGATCTGAGTGAATCCGTCCGCGGGACCAATATGACCAGCGCTCCGATCATTGTGCGCCAGCTAGATGAGCTGTCCGAGTCGCTGAAAACATTGTCACTGGAGCTGACGCGCTTTTTCGCCAATGTCGACTCCGACGTCGACTCGATTCTGATAGTCATGGACTGGGCCAAAAGAGAGCTGGAGACTTTATCGTCGCAACCCCCCAGTTCTCTGCCATCCATTGTCCTCGACAACGTGCATGATCTCTTATCGCGGCTGGGCACGCTGGAGCGCCTGTCCGCTCCAAACGGTGAGGCGAGTAGCAGCGAGCTGACAACCACCCCAACCACATTCGGTCTCGTCGTGACGGCCGTGCTGGGTCAGACTTCCGCCCAGCGGACACGGGCCACACTCACGCGAACATTCACGGAGTTCCTAGCTGTGCTTGAAGAGTCCATCAATAGTGAATTGACTCATTCAACTGCGCTATTTGCCCTCTTTGAATCTATAGATCGCCAGTTTCTGAATCTGCAGCGTACCGTTGTGCGCGAGTCGGACGCCCAAGAACGTGCTGAGGGCGAGATGCTGAGCTCCCTGTGGACCCGAGTCCTCGGTCCTGACGCCGCTGTGGTTCGCAAATATGAGAAGAACAAGCGCCTGTTGGCCAGTGTGCGCAGCCGGACTGTCGCCAACAAGCATCTACTGATGGATCACCGAGGCCGTCTTCTGACACTCAAGGTCAACCTGGAGACCCTGCGACGAAAGCTGGTCAGTCCACTTGTTCGCCGAAACGACTCTGTGAGCTTTGTCGGTGCTGTCGAGGGAGGCGGCGGCCGCAGTAACGGACGGATGCTCGGGCCAGTTGAAGCCGTCATCGAAGGCCAGATCCGCGGGCTGGAAGGCACCTACGAGTACCTCCGCTCCGTCCGAGAAAAGCAAAAGGCCAAACTCATGGAAATGGTATATGGGGCTGGGCGCAAAATCCCATCAGCTTCCATGTTAGCAGACGGTTCGGACGATCTAGGGTCAGATACCATCGAAGGGGTCTGAACGCCGCCAGAGGAGGGTTGCAAAGGGGGTTAAGGGTTACAATACAAAGCATTCCACCCCTCGCTTGTTCTTCCCACCCCGTTCATACATCTTACATCTGTCTTTCTCCTCTTTCCTCCTTTGGTTTAATCACCACGGCGCTTCATCCTCTTTGCTGCAGGCAATTCGCTCGGCGTTCTCGGTCGATTATTCCCTCGACCTCGGGCGTCATCATGGTATCTGATCTGGGTTGGCTTCCGTCCACGAGTTTCTCAACCTCGTCTCTTCTTTCTTTCCCATTTCCCGGCGAAACTGAGGTCAAAAAGCAGAATAGACGAGTGGTCTTTTTTCCCTTTTCCGATTTTGTTGGATATGGAGAGGGCTGGTGTTCATTGATTCCGTTCTTTCAGAATACAGCAGGTAAGGAAGGAAGGAGCAAGATGGCGTTTATATTGGCTTTTTTTTTTTTTTTTTTACACTCTGTGGTCTTTTTTTATATTGTGATCCGCTCTTTGGTTCTAGCATAAGGTCTAGCATGTACGAGGCATTTACATCTCAATCTACAACATACTCCAATCACTTCTTCATGTTACATGTTCGCGAATCTATATCATAATTTCCGAGATTTTAATTTGCGCAGCAAGATGTACAACAAGTAATGTTCAGATCCAAAAGAAGACCCCACCAGCGGAAAAGAATAGATGGATCGAGAAATATCGACAGAAACGAATCCAATCAAGTCATGGTCGACTTGTGTTGGATGGAAGAGAATTCCATTTGAAATTGCGCCCCCGAAAACCAGACAAACCCCCATAGAACTCCGATTCGGATGCTTGCGTGGAACCTCAAGGCTACAGAGAAGTCGAAGTCGCTTTCCCTCGCCTTCTTCTCCCCGCCCAATCACTTTTCATGTTCATTTGCAGTTTTGGTTTCAATTCAGAAAGGTTGGAAAGACCACGGCCTAAAAGCCGTACCCACCCCCGCCGTACGGCGTCGCACCGTAGGGGGTTGCCGCGCTGGCTCCCCAGGCACTCGTGCCGCCGTTGGCGTACGCCGTGAACCCGCCGTCCATGCCCTCTGGCGGCTCGTAGGCGTCGGGACTGCGGACGCCCATCATGTCCTCGTCTTCGGGGAGGCCGTTGCGGCCACCGTTGCCGGCGCCGGAGAGGGAGGAGATGACGGTGGCGAGTTTGCGTTGGAGGACGATGATGCCCTGCTGGATGATCATGTCCGGTTCGAGGTTGCCGATGCTTTCGACGTCGATGTAGAAGTTGTTGGGTTGGGCGTCGTAGTCGAACGGTTGGTCGGGGGGTGCGGCGTGTTCCCAGGCGGCGTTTGCGGAGACAGGCCTGGGGTGAATCATTAGCGACTGGTCTGGGTTTCATTTACAGCGTAAAATTGCATGGGTGCAGAAAAGAACGAAAGAAGAACGTACCATTCCTTGATCGGATCCTCCTCGTACCAGTAATCCACATGCCGGAGGTTATTGTGCGGGTCATACTCGAACCCAACAGCCGCAGTGGGCGCCCACTTCGCATGCTCCTTCGCCATCCCCTTCTTCGCAATACAGGTCATCTTGAGCTCCTGCCCCCGCCGCAGCTTACAGATCAGGGAACCCTTCCCCTCCGGATCCGTGATGACGGGGTTCCCCACCCACTCGTTCGCGCGCTCGCCGCTGACGACCAGATCCCGCGCGTAGACGGGCATGATCTCGTCGCCTGTGCAGCGCGCATGCAGTGTGAGCGTGACGCTGCAGCGCGCGCAGTGGTCCTCGCAGTCGCAGTCGCGGGTGTACTCGACGTCCTGGTCGCAGTTTTTCGAGTTGAGGGGGATGAGGCCCAGTCTGTGGGCGAGGAATTCGTCGGGGAGTACGGAGGTGTTCTTTTCGACTTCGACCAGGTCGATGGCCATCGTTGGGACTTCGGCTAGGATGACTCGGCGGAGGGAGTTGGCGAAGGCGAGGTCGACGGAGCTGAGTTTGAAATCGACGCGGTATGGCTCGGTCTGGTGCAAGCCGATCAGCAATGTCCTCTCCTTGAAGCGTTGCTTGTTTCAGCATTTTTCAGAGATAGCTCGAACACACCTCTCTCACGGTCACCTGGGGCCCAGTGGGCTCAATGTCCATTTCATAATCCATATCGGCGATGAGGCAGTGCTGCTGGCCGCCGACCTTGTTTCTGGGTAGTTGAATGCTATACTCGACTCATATGATTCTGACGAACCACAGTCTGGCCCTGCAACTGTGGCTTTAAGATCTTTTGTGAAAAGGAGACTTTTGTTCAGTGGTTGTTGGTGACAGAAGGGGAGCTCTGGGTTTGGCTTTGACCGATGCACTTCCGCCTTTTGGCGCTTTGCCTAATTAGGCATCATGAGCAGTCACTTGCTTCACCCATATCCAACTACGCGATAAAGTGTTCAGCTTCTATTCACTTTCATAGTCCTTGCATTCCATGTTGTTAATTGAGACATCCGGACACAGAGTACAAACTTGAAAAAGTGCAGACACTAGGGGCAGAATCAAGTTCCTGAGTTCTGTAAGATTTCCAAGCTATTATACATAATAGAAGCCAAAGGTCTAGGAAGCCTGCTATGGGTGCACTGTGTGCCATTCGATATTACATGTTGATTCATGGTTGCTAATTTTGCTGGTATTCAGTATCCAAGATTGCAAGAGCAAGGCCAAAAAGCATAAGTTTCAGCAAAATCAATGCATCACTGGCTCAATGGCTGTTCCAGTAGGCATCCAGCAATCCTAGTGCAATAGGGGATCCTGGCTGTTCTCCCTTGCCTTCCACTGAACGACCAGAATTAGGCCAAATAGAGGGTTGGTATCAAAGTAGCCAGCGAAAAAGTTTCCACAAAGGACTTGTATGCAATCCCAAGTCAAGTCCAAGTAGCCACAGCAACAGCAACAGCAACACAAAACTTGCTTTTCTCGTCCGTCCGCAACAGCGCTATCAGGCTGTGCGTCTAACCTTCTATACTGATGAACCGTCGAAGATTCTATAGTGGTGAGCACGTAGAAACCGGGTTATGCACAAAGCCATGAAGTCGCCACCCGCTTGTGCCAAGCAACAAGATACAAAGACTCAGAACTCCGAGGCTGTGAGACCGACCATGAGAGGTAAAAAAAAAACCCCGAGTGACACAGATGCAAGCAGAAAAACCAAGACAACGAGTCGAATTTTGAGTAGAAAATCGTATCAGTTCGTAACAAGATCAAAAGCTGACAAGCAGCGATTGATCTTCTTTTCTCGTTCGCCTGGCGAACGATGAGAAAAGGCAGCAGGTAACTCCTCTGCTATCTCTTCAGAGAACTGCGATTTAAAGCCTCCAAGAGTTCAGGACGGCTTGCAAGAGCGGCGGCGGCTTGTGCATAAGTAACCCATTGCCGTTTCCGCTTGTGCATCTCTGGCCACTGGTCTTCTTCACGCTCGACCGTCACCTCAAAAAACTGGTACGAGGCCTTGGGGGCACTCGACGTCAGAACGGAGGACGGGCGCATATCTGGGATCAAACCCAGATCTTTGTGGACCGTGCAAATAACACCGGCCTCTTCCCAAGCCTCTCTGCAAGCGGCTTGCTGCGCGAGTGCCTCATCTGTCTCCCATCCTCCTTTGGGGAGGACCCAGCCACCTCTTCCTGCGGACTGGATCATGAGCACCCGCGTTTTGTCATGAGAAAGCGGGACGACACCTGCTACGAGCCTTTCGCCTTTGGAGCCGTAGCCTAAGGATTCAAGAAAAGTTAGCTTTTGTCTGGGGAACTTGTTGAGGGCGAAATTCTCAGAGCTCCTGCATAGACAACGTTCACAGAACCTCCGGCTTCATAAAAAAAGAAAGACCCATGAGCCTCTAGGGGCGGTAGACTCACGTTGGTTTTTCCGCCCGACGCGGGACTCCATTGAGCGAGTTTGTTCCGCCATTTTGGACATTTTGATATATATATATATATACAAGCGTCTTCACGAAGACGCTTGCAGAAGGATCGGTGGAAAATGGAATTGAGCGCCTGTCAATGACAGCTGATGCTGTAATCTTCAGGCACCAGAAGGTAAAAGAATGGTAAAGGCAACGAAGGAAGAAACTAAGGGTTCCGGCTACAGCTTGGGAGCTGCTCAATTCCAAAATGACGGGGGTTTTCAAACAAGAGCCCTGGCCTCAGTAAAGGGCCGCTTGGGAGTGGAAATCAGAATGTTCCACAGACAGTCGTCGCTTTTTATTTTCCGGGAGAAGAGGAACGAGGCGGTCGAGGGAAATTTTTTTGGGGCGACTGAGAATAATCTTGCGGAGATGGAAGAGAGGAACTAGGTATTCCCGTTCACTCCCGCAGCGGACGGGAACCTCGAAGAAGATGTGGAGGTGACAATAGACATCATATCAGGAGAAATAGGTATAGAATAGGGAGGGGAAGATAGAAGAGGAAATGGGAGAGAGTATGAGAGGAACGGAGGGGGAGGGAGAGGGTCTCAGAGGCAGCTTGGTATAATGGCGGCGCGGTCCGGCAGGAAGTACGGAGACCCTAGGTAAGGTACCTAAGTAGGTATTCTGGTACGTGCTGGTAATGACTGCTGACCAGAGGTACCTTACCTTACTCATGTATCGCTGGTAATACCGTTCCGTTTACTGGCATCACTGGTACAGACTGTAGGCAGTACTGAGGTATGATTCTTTTAGGGCCCCTAGGCCCGTGGTTTGGTGTCCACACCATTTACACTCGCCCGAAGGGGGGCTCTCCCAGGCGGGTACGTACATACAGTTCCAGTTCGGCGTTGTATGCAGGTCATTCCATTTGTGGTGTCTGAGAATTGTGGTATGAATACAGAGTAGTAATACAAAGACGGTCAGGTAAGATTCGTCTCCAGTCATTGAAGTACTGGGGTTCAGGGCTTTCTTTATTTTGCCCCTTACACAGGGTGATATGAGTCCAGTATCTAAGGTAGAAGAGCAGAGATGCCTCTATGCCGTCGATTCTTCTCCCCTGTGATGGTGCATGTAGATTGCTACCTAGGTATGAGACACAGGTACCAACTGTTCAACAAGATCAGACTTTCCCTATGTATAAAATTGCCTAGCTCAACTCTCGCAAAAAAATGGAAAATAAACATTTGAATAATCAATCTATTTCAACTAGCTTCTGGCCTTGTCTTTGTCTGACTAGACATACTACGACGAAGACCGCCACATGTACTCCGTATGGAGGAGTTTATTGAGGGAATGGACTGCAGATTACAGTCTTGCATCCACTGTTCGAAAGTCGAAGCACGACTGAGGGAGTACCTTGAATTTATTCAAAATAAAGTCTCTGAACTTAGCAGATATCTAAAAAGAGAGACTGAATATTGATTGGTCTCTTCGCATGCTTATGGTTACCATCACTAAAGTAAAACGCCGATTGTCCTCCGAACTCCAACAACTCGGGCACTGCGTAAGCTTAGATCCTAATCTTACTTTTACTTTGTATCTTGACTGTATGATCATCATCATCATCATCATCATCATCATCATCATCATAATAGATTGAACACTGGAAAGTCGTTTCATACGATGCTATTCCGCAGTGTCCAGTAATGTACAAAGTACGGAGTATGAGTCTGTATTATTATTTGGAGACGGCCCTAAAGAAATCAGTTAACTCCGCCATCGTCTTGCCTCTAGGGCTCTAGGCGCGTCCTGTTATTTCGTCTAATTTACATTAATAATAATACCTTTCCTTTACCCTTCCTATGGATCCAGCTTATTATGCTTCCAACCAAGGCTGTAGATTGGGTACCAGAAAGCAGGAGCACACTTGCATACATTAGCCACTCAAAACGACGATCCAAGCATCGGATGCGGGGCACAGCAACCCGGTCTGGTCCAAGAGATCCCGATCATCAAGGATGACCTTTTGCAGGCTGAAGGGAACTCTGAGGTAGAGGACACATTCAGACAAATCCATGATGGCCTTGGATCAACACTCGAAAAACTCTTGCTAAGTACTGACTTAGTACAAAGTACATACTAAATGTCTGTAGGTTGCTGCATGACCCTCTTAGACTTGAAGCGCATGTTCTACCTTAGCTTAGTGGGGAGTACTGTACACTCATATGTAGTGGCTGGTTGAGTTGTAATTCCTAAGAGCCAAAAACCTAGGGACGTGCTTAGATCTGTAGGCCATTAATGGTTCAGAGGCTTGAGGATCGCTGTGTTAGCAATTGGAGTTGGATGCGACAACGCAGCAAAGATCTATAGCCAGTGCGGATCCTTAATCTCTGAGAGATCCTAGCAGGCTAGCACAGACAAATGATGATAGTGGTGATAATGCGTGGACGTTAGGAATTTCTGCACGTGATGTCACTAGCTATGGGGAACATGCATGTAGTAAGGTAATGCCTGGAGTGGTACTCGCGAATCAGACATCAAGGGTTTAGGTTAATAGTGCTGTTGAGGTTGCCGTTTAGATCCAGAAACAGCATTCAATTAGAGTCTTGAGTTTTCACCCTCGTCATCGCAGACCATGAAGATTTCTCCAATGATGAAGATTGACACTTGGCCAACTTCCAACTCGAGACATGCAAAGGTTAGGTTGTAGCTCCAGGTACAGTGACCATAATTACACATAGCGTATTGTGGTACACATCATCAGATACCGTACATGTGTATTCCAAGTACAGCATACGCTGGCTGACCATACAATACAGGGACATGGAAGCTTCTCACTTTCGGCCGTCAAGTTCCATAAGCTATAGACGTCTACGCTGTGGAATGAGGGACATCATCACAGAGATGGAACAGCGCAATATCGAATATGCAGTATTGAATACATTCACATTTCATAGCCAGATGCTATATGACCGATGCCAGAACAGATTCTTGCATGCCATGATCCTGGAACCAGAGACACCTATAAGGTAGTGGCGAAAATAACATCGGGAGTATGGAGGAAAGACACATTTAAGCCTCCTGCACCACATCCAAGAAATCAGTAGAAATGACAGGGATGATTCGGTCCTTACATGTGCAGCGACATGGGCTTTAGCCTCTTCTAGAAACATCATGAACTGTACTTGCATGGTTGCTTCTTCATGCTGCCGCCAGTAGACATGTCATCCCCAAGACATGCTTGGCAAATCAACATGCAGTCAGTTTGTGAGCTCCTCTTCTCGAAGATCGAGCACCTATCTATGTATCCGGCTTGTTGACTCGAATGCTTTTCATGATCTTGCTTTGCGATTATAGTGGTCATGAGGATGAATACCTAAGGCTGCTTCATAGAGGAAAATCATACCAGTTGACTGGCCGTAGTAAGCAATCTTCTCTGTTCTACTAAATACAACAACAGCTCCATCATCTCAGTCTGTCTGTTCACCATTATTTTTTATGGTCAATCATCACCGTTGGGATCTAACTGCAGCGTGACCAACTCATCGTTGTTCCAATAGTCCAACTAGAGTCCATCACCGTGGCGGCTTCTTTTTCCCTTTCTCGCGTCTCTGACTCTCATTATTTCTTCTCTTCCCGCCTTGAGCGCTGGCAATAATATAATTGATCCGCTACTTCCATCGCATTTTCCTTTCTGAACGATCCGATTGAACTATTATTTACCTACATAGCCTCGACATGGAAGACGACTCCGTGGAGCCTCTGGATCCCATCGTTGACGCCGAACGTGCGAGGCAGCTGTCACTCTTCCGACCTCTAGGTAAGGAGCCAGTCAGAGCAGTGTGCCTTTCCCCGTGCATCCATCACTGGTCGTGATCTATCCGCCTTTTCTTGCGCTGCCCCTCCCAGCGTGTATCATTGTATTGCCCCTCATCCGCCGGCCATTGCTGTCATGTTTGTGTTCTTGGCTTCCATATTCTAGCCTTCTGAACCTTTGGATCTGGATAATTCCTTGGATGACCACACACCGCTTGGAACCCTTTGCTTTTCTTCCTCCACTTCATGCTTACGGCTTTACAATCATTCTATGACTGTCCGCATGACTAATAATATCCCGGGTTTCGATTCCGGATACAGGATATCAGCGCAACTCATGTGGTTACTGCAAATCTGATAATGGAAGTGAGTGTGTCTTTTCGATCACCTGCCCCACTTCCTCCCACATCAATCACTGCCTGCTCGAATGCCTTGGCTGATCAGTCTATGCAGGCGCTGCCTACTACACTAGTTCTGTTTCAGTGCGCCCGGAACACTACGATGTTCTCGTCAATCGCGGTTGGAGAAGGTTGTACTCGCTCATCTGCATGCAGTCAACATGCAATCACCTTCACAGCGCATTGCTAATCTCCGTCTAGATCGGGGACGCTGTACTATAAGCAGAATCTGCAAAGGTCATGTTGTCCGCACTATACGTTAAGGTGCATACCCTGTCCTTCTTTCGCTAGTTTTGTGGCATTGGGCGTCGGGACTGAAATTGTTGCAAACTCTAGACTTGAAGCATCCGCCTTCAAACCGAGAAAGGATCAACGCAAGGCTGTCAACCGCTGGACCAAGTTCGTTCTGGGTCCAGAATACATCCGTAGGGCAGCCTATTTGTGCCCCAAAACGAGGGAGTGAGTATCCATAGGTTTTTCTGAAACGCTGCCGGGAACGTGTACACATAAACTTACACTTCATTCACTGTTCAGAGAAAAGAAACATCGAAAGTGCAATTTCGATCTGCTGACTGCGGTTCATGAGGCCGAGTACAGCAACCTCAAGCGGCCCATTGATCCGAAGACGAAGAAACTGCTGGAGCCAGCCCATCGATTTGAGGTCAACATAGAGGGAGACTCTATTTCCCAGGCCAAGTTAACATCGATTGAGCCCTGGTATCATTTCGTAGGCTAACCAGTTCTAAGGTTCGATCTTTTCGTCAAATATCAAACCAAAATCCACAAAGAAGACGTATCCAAATGGAAACAGAAGGATTTCAAGCGTTTTTTGTGCTCGGGCATCAAAAGGTCTCCCGCAGATGCAAAGTCTGCAGAACGAAAATTAGGGTCATGGCATCAATGTTACCGACTCGACGGGAAACTCATAGCGGTTGCTGTTTTGGACTTGATGCCGAGCGGTGTGAGCTCAGTCTACATCTTGTAAGTTCACCTCTATGACCAGTCTCTGGGACTGTAGCTAAGAGCTCTAGCTATGATCCGGATTATGAGCAGTGGGAGTTTGGCAAGCTCAGCGCCATGAGGGAGATTGCTCTTGCGCTGGAGGGGTCTTACCAATACTACTACATGGGTAGGCGACTCTAGTTTCGTGAGTAGAGAGAAAGATGGACAATGATTGACGCCTCCCAGGGTACTACATCCACACATGTCAGAAGATGCGCTACAAAGGCGCGTTTCGACCACAGTACATCCTCGGTAAGGATGACATCCGGTTCAATAACAATCAAATGCTAATTCAATCATAGACCCCGAGAGCTACACCTGGGACCCGCTTGAAGGGGAACTAACCAAGAAGCTGGACGAGCGTCCCTACGTATCTCTTTCTCGCGACAGACGACTGGCCGCACAGGGCCTGCCAGAGTCCACAGAGGCCGAATCGGCAGAGGTAGAGATCAATGACGAGGAGATGTCTCTGTTTGACCTGCACATGCCCGGAGTCATGACTCTCGATGAGGTCAAATCGCTGGATCTGGACCACGCGCTCCTTCTGGTGCAGGGCTCGCTTGTTCACATGATGGTAAGACGCTCCCATTGCCGGCGCATCAAACCTCGCCTGCTAACATGGTTCGACTCTAGGATCTCGTAGGATGGGAACGAATGCCTATTGATAACCCCCAATCCGTTAAAGGCATTGTCGCCGAACTCGCCGCGGTGCTGGGTAGGGAAGTTTTCAAGGATTGTGCGGTGGTCTTGTTTGATTGAATAGCACCTGGAGTTGAGTTTGCAGTGAGAAAGTCGCGCATTCTAATCTCGAAGGTATTGCTACTAGTCTACGTCAAAAGGAACAATGCAGTGATTCTGACCAATTCATATGTATGACACTATGTATACTAGCTCAACATGTCGTGTCAGAGTAAACGTATAGAGCAATGTGCCGTTCTGAAATCAGATCCCGACCGATACGCCTTCCATGATGATACAAACAAACACTGAAATTACCGAAACGCTGCTATAGCAACACAAAAGACCTCATGCATGCCAATCTCAGAACAAAGACGCCCGAATGCATAGAGACAAAGACCGAAAAGCAATCATAGCATCAGCTCGACCGGAGGACGCGCCGTCTTCGGCGGCAGCTTCTTGACCGACATCTCAATCGGACTCATCTCGACATCCTCATCGTCCAGCATGACACTCGTATCCTCAACCATCACAGCCGGAAGACCGGGACTGCCACCGTGGTCCTCCGGATTGTAGATCAGCGTACTACTCCGGCTCCTCTGCTGAGACATTGCAATGGGCCAGCTCCCCGTCCTCTTCTCGGAGGAAATCGACATCGGCGTCCCGGGGTCGACAGGGCCAGGGACAGGGCCAGCGGCAGGGGCAGGGGCAGATTGCTCCGTCTTGAGCTGCGCAAGCGCCTGGGCCAGATCACTCGCGTGGACCTCCTTGTTGGGCGGCTCCTCGGTGCGCATGACCCAGCCGTGCGGGGGGCTAGGCGGCGGACTGATGAAGAAGAGCTTGTCGAGGTGGGGGGCCTCGAGGAGTTTGGGGCGGCGGGCCTCGGCCTCGTCGAGGAGG